AAATTGTTGATTAAGCGAGATAACACGCTCAAAATTGAGCTGGCCTTGTTCAAATTGTTGATTAAGCGAGATAACACGCTCAAAATTGCTGGTCTTGTTCAAAAATTAAGCGAGATAACACGCTCAAAATTGAGCTGGTCTTGTTCAAATTGTTGATTAAGCGAGATAACACGCTGGCCTTGTTCAAAAATGATTAAGCTGGCCTTGCTTCAAATTGAGCTGGTCTTGTTCAAATTGTTGATTAAGCGAGATAACACGCTCAAAATTGAGCTGGCCTTGTTCAAATTGTTGATTAAGCGAGATAACAAATTGTTGATTAAGTTAGACAACGCTCAAAATTGAGCTGGCCTTGTTCAAATTGTTGATTAAGCTAGATAACACGCTCAAAATTGAGCTGGTCTTGTTCAAATTGTTGATTAAGCGAGATAACACGCTCAAAATTGAGCTGGCATTGTTCAAATTGTTGATTAAGCGAGATAACACGCTCAAAAATTGGCTGGCCTGTTCAAATTGTTGATTAAGCGAGATAACACGCTCAAAATTGAGCTGGTCTTGTTCAAATTGTTGATTAAGCGAGATAACAGATTCAAAATTGTTCTTGTTCAAATTGTTGATTAAGCTGAGATAACACGCTCAAAATTGAGCTGGTCTTGTTCAAATTGTTGATTAAGATTCAAAATTGAGCTGGCCTTGTTCAAATTGATTAAGCAGATAACGCTCAAAATTGAGCTGGCCTTGTTCAAATTGTTGATTAAGCGAGATAACACGCCCAAAATTGCCTGGTCTTGTTCAAATTGTTGATTAAGCCTTAACACGTTCAAAAGCTTAAGCCTAACACGTTCAAAATTGAGCTGGCCTTGTTGTTGATTAAGCGAGATAACACGCTCAAAATTGAGCTGGTCTTGTTCAAATTGTTGATTAAGCGAGATAACACGCTCAAAATTGAGCTGGCCTTGTTCAAATTGTTGATTAAGCTAGATAACATGCTCAAAATTGAGCTGGCCTTGTTCAAATTGTTGATTAAGCGAGATAACACACTCAAAATTGAGCTGGCCTTGTAGAAAATTGTTGACTAAGCTAGATAACACGCTCAAAATTGAGCTGGCCTTGTTCAAATTGTTGATTAAGCTAGATAACACGCTCAAAATTGAGCTGGCCTTGTTCAAATTGTTGATTAAGCGAGATAACAGTTGAAAAATTGTTGATTAAGCGAACACGCTCAAAATTGATTAGCTGTTAACAGATTCATTGAGCCGCTTGTTCAAATTGCCACGTTCAAATTGGCCTTGATAAACACGCTCAAAATTGAGCTGGTCTTGTTCAAATTGTTGATTAAGCGAATAACACGCTCAAAATTGAGCTGGTCTTGTTCAAAATTGTTGATTAAGCGAGATAACACGCTCAAAAGCTGGCCTTGTTCAAATTGTTGATTAAGCGAGATAACACGCTCAAAATTGAGCTGGCCTTGTTCAAATTGTTGATTAAGCGAGATAACACGCTCAAAATTGAGCTGGCCTTGTTCAAATTGTTGATTAAGCGAGATAACAGATTCAAAATTGATAACTTGCAAATTGTTGATTAAGCAAAACACGCAAAATTGGCTGGTCTTGTTCAAATTGTTGATTAAGCTAGATAACACGCTCAAAATTGAGCTGGCCTTGTTCAAATTGTTGATTAAGCGAGATAACACGCTCAAAATTGAGCTGGCCTTGTTCAAATTGTTGATTAAGCGAGATAACACGCTCAAAATTGAGCTGGCCTTGTTCAAATTGTTGATTAAGCGAGATAACACGCTCAAAATTGAGCTGGCCTTGTTCAAATTGTTGATTAAGCGAGATAACACGCTTCAAATTGTTGAAAGCTGGCCTTGTTCAAATTGTTGATTAAGCGAGATAACACGCTCAAAATTGAGCTGGTCTTGTTCAAATTGTTGATTAAGCGAGATAACACGCTCAAAATTGAGCTGGTCTTGTTCAAAATTAAGCTAACAGGCCTTGTTCAAATTGTTGATTAAGCGAGATAACACGCTCAAAATTGAGCTGGCCTTGTTCAAATTGTTGATTAAGCGAGATAACACGCTCAAAATTGCTGGCCTTGTTCAAATTGTTGATTAAGCGATAACACGATAAAACGCTTGTTCAAAAAGCTGGCCTTGTTCAAATTGTTGATTAAGCGAGATAACACGCTCAAAAAGCTGGCTGGCCTTGTTCAAATTGTTGATTAAGCGAGATAACACGCTCAAAATTGAGCTGGCCTTGTTCAAATTGTTGATTAAGCGAGATAACACGCTCAAAATTGGCTGGCCTTGTTCAAAATTGTTGATTAAGCGAGATAACACGCTCAAAAGCTGGCCTTGTTCAAATTGTTGATTAAGCGAGATAACACGCTGGCCTTGTTCAAAATTAAGCGAGATAACACGCTCAAAAAAGCTGGCCTTGTTCAAATTGTTGATTAAGCGAGATAACCCTTGTTCAAATTGTTGATTAAGCGAGATAACACGCTCAAAAGCTGGCCTTGTTCAAATTGTTGATTAAGCGAGATAACACGCTCAAAAGCTGGCCTTGTTCAAATTGTTGATTAAGCGAGATAACACGCTCAAAAGCTGGCCTTGTTCAAATTGTTGATTAAGCAGATAACGCTCAAAATTGTTTGTTCAAATTGTTGATTAAGCGAGATAACACGCTCAAAATTGAGCTGGCCTTGTTCAAAATTTGTTCAAATTCAAAATTGAGCTGGCCTTATTCAAATTGTTGATTAAGCGAGATAACACGCTCAAAACTGAGCTGGCCTTGTTCAAATTGTTGATTAAGCGAGATAACACGCTCAAAATTGAGCTGGCCTTGTTCAAATTGTTGATTAAGCTAGATAACAGATTCAAAATTGAGCTGGCCTTGTTGAAAATTGTTGACTAAGCTAGATAACACGCTCAAAAGCTGGCCTTGTTCAAATTGTTGATTAAGCGAGATAACACGCTCAAAATTGAGCTGGCCTTGTTCAAATTGATTAAGCGAGATAACACGCTCAAAATTGCTGGCCTTGTTCAAATTGTTGATTAAGCGAGATAACACGCTGGCCTTGTTCAAATTGTTGATTAAGCTAACATGCTCAAAATTGTGGCCTTGTTCAAATTGTTGATTAAGCGAGATAACAAAAATTGAGCTGGCCTTGTTCAAATTGTTGATTAAGCGAGATAACACGCTCAAAAGCTGGTCTTGTTCAAATTGTTTATTAAGCTAGATAACACGCTCAAAAGCTGGCCTTGTTCAAATTAAGTTAACGCGCTCAAAATTGATGATTGATCAGATAACAGATAAAAAGCTGGCCTTGTTCAAACTGCGATTCAAAAATTGGCGAAATTGTTGATTAAGCGAGATAACACGCTCAAAATTGAGCTGGTCTTGTTCAAATTGTTGATTAAGCGAGATAACAGATTCAAAATTGAGCTGGTCTTGTTCAAATTGTTGATTAAGCGAGATAACACGCTCAAAATTGAGCTGGCCTTGTTCAAATTGTTGATTAAGCGAGATAACACGCTCAAAATTGAGCTGGCCTTGTTCAAACTGTTGATTAAGCGAGATAACAGATTCAAAATTGATTGTTCAAATTGTTGATTAAGCGAGATAACACGCTCAAAATTGAGCTGGCCTTGTTCAAATTGTTGATTTCAAATTGTTGATAACACGCTCAAAAGCTGGCCTTGTTCAAATTGTTGATTAAGCGAGATAACACGCTCAAAAGCTGGCCTTGTTCAAATTGTTGATTAAGCGAGATAACACGCTCAAAAGCTGGCCTTGTTCAAATTGTTGATTAAGCGAGATAACGCTCAAAATTGAGCTGGCCTTGTTCAAACTGTTGATTAAGCGAGATAACACGCTCAAAATTGCTGGCCTTGTTCAAATTGTTGATTAAGCGAGATAACTCGTTCAAACTGTTGATTAAGCGAGATAACACGCTCAAAACCTTGTTCAAAATTTGATTAAGCGAGATAACACGCTCAAAATTGAGCTGGCCTTGTTCAAATTGTTGATTAAGCGAGATAACACGCTCAAAAATTGAGCTGGCCTTGTTCAAACTGTTGATTAAGCGAGATAACATGCTCAAAATTGAGCTGGCCTTGTTCAAATTTGTTGATTAAGCGAGATAACAGATAACGCTCAAAATTGAGCTGGCCTTGTTCAAATTGTTGATTAAACACGCTCAAAATTGAGCTGATAACACGCCTTGTTCAAATTGTTGATTAAGCGAGATAACACGCTCAAAATTGAGCTGGTCTTGTTCAAATTGTTGATTAAGCGAGATAACACGCTCAAAATTGAGCTGGCCTTGTTCAAATTGTTGATTAAGCGAGATAACACACGCTCAAAATTGAGCTGGATAACTTGTTCAAATTGTTGATTAAGCGAGATAACACGCTCAAAATTGAGCTGGTCTTGTTCAAATTGTTGATTAAGCCTTAACATGTTCAAAAATTGAGCTGGCCTTGTTGATTAATTGTTGATTAAGCGAGATAACAGATCAAAATTGAGCTGGCCTTGTTCAAATTGTTGATTAAGCGAGATAACGAACACGCTCAAAATTGAGCTGGCCTTGTTCAAATTGTTGATTAAGCGAGATAACACGCTCAAAATTGAGCTGGCCTTGTTCAAATTGTTGATTAAGCGAGATAACTCGCTCTTTCCCAGAAACTTTAACTACATCTCCACAGTATAGTTGCAGTATAAACCACAAGTGGGCTCTGTGGGTGTTGAACAAACACAAATACGCCTGAGCAAGTGTCTGCAATAGGGATTGGCTAGCCACCCGAGTAGACGAGTAGACGGGTATCCTCGAATATGAGTGGCCAGCAATACATACTATACGGTTAATAAACTGACCTGCCGATTTTTCCTATTCCAGATTGTAGAGTAGACGGTTCTAACAGCTTTTTGAACCCACCCTACTAATACCCTTTTTTTCCACTCTTTATCTTCCTCCTTCTGTATCTTCCTTCCCTCTTATAGTCCTTCTACTTCTTTTTCACGTTAAACCTTCCTACCCCTTCTACTCATTTCCTCCGATTTTTCTCCTCCTCCTCTTCCTTAAAGTCCTCCACCTTCATTTGTTCTCCCTTCTTTTTTCTTCCCACTCCTTCTCTGCTTCTTCTCTTCCAGTATCTTTTCGAATCTCTCCTCCTATTCCTTTATTCCTTTTCTCCCCCACCCCTCTGTTGCCTCCTTTTCTTGTACCACGCCCTTTTCGGGCCCTTTATACTTCCCACCGTGCCCTCATCCTGGCTAACTATTTTCTCTGTATCTGAATTTCACAAAAATTGCTAATTTCCGGTCGATGCCATTTTTGGGGGTCGTCGATAGTTGTGTTAGCACGAAGCCACAAGTCATCGTGACCGAAGCTTCGAGTGTGCTGGCTTTGTTCAGATTGTTGATCATTCTAGATAACACGTTCTCTCCCAGAAAATGCAACTAATGTCTGTTCAGCATAGTTGCAGTATAAACATGGGCGGTGTTGAATAAACACAATAAACAATTTCTATTGCAGAGAAATAAACAATCCATATAAACAATCCAATAAGGAGCCACCCTAGTAGACGGGTATTCACGGGTATAAGTGGCCAGCTCTCCGCTATACACGTGTTATTCTAATCACTCGAGCAGCGGGCTGGGTCTCGAGATGAACACCATATGTGAACAAGTAATAAAGGAAGAACTGACATTAAATTTTAGACTTCAGAATCCGTTACCTGAACATCTTAGACAAGGATACAACTTCGTAGATAAAAGTGTTAGTAAAATTCACCCGCTTCCTTGAAAGTCGAGGGATTAATCGCCGGGACAGGTAGTGAAGAAATTTACGCTGGTTCAGTGGAGATCAGTAGAAAGAATTGGCGTGATCTGAAATTTTCTTGGAGATGCGAATGACGTGACAGGTATTAGCTTGGAAACGGTATACGTTCGCGGATTAATCAAACATTTTCGTTCGGTATTACGAGAAAGAGACGGGTCAGAGAGTGCAGCAAAAAAAAAAAAAACGGTTGGAATATAACGAGTAATCAATATATAAAAGGACACACCGAAATCTTTCAGATGTGAATTTGCTATATTCCCTTTTTCTCTTTCCAACGCCTTTTTTATCTGTTGAAAATTCTCACAAGGAACAATAGTATTTTCCATTCTCTTATTTTTTACGCTAGCCAATACAAGAGACACTCGCTGTAAATGGTTAGTGAATTGGGTTGTTTTATGAACTTTTCTTTTAGATTTGGTTTGTTTTGTTTTGTTTTACGGTATATCAACCTCAATGAGTATTTAATGCCGACAAGATTATTATTGCTGGTAATATTATTTTTAATGTATAGCTGGTTATTTTTTTGTTTCAAAAATATATTGCTCTTAATAATTTTTTTACAAAGTATTTTCTGTTATTAAAACCAATTTTTACACTTCCATAGTGTTTTGACCCCAGTTTTGGGGTTAACTATTTGCTAATAGCTAGGACCCTAACAGGTGCTACCACCCCGGGTCTGAGTGGATCTGAGAACACCAGTAATTAAGAGGTGCTCCACGCTCCTCATAACATCCTGATCAGAGGACTTGCTGTTGGATGTAGTGTATCCTCTTACCCAGGACGCGGATGTAGTTTATCGTCATATACCCGACGGGCGGCGTTTTAGAAACTTGACATTCAATCTTAATTAACGTTACAACACATGCATTAACAGATACTGTTCTATGGAGCCATTTCTCCAAGAATGATAGTGCTTTGTATGATGCAGATGTAGTTTATCGTCATACCCAGGACGGCTTTTCTTTTAGTCAATTCACTCAGGCAAGTCAATAATATCACGAAGACTCAACTGGCTACTGAAAGTGAAAGAGAAGGAAAAGATTTTAGAAGGAATCGGAAACCCAATCTTAAACAGAAAACAAAGGATAAACTTCTACTCCTGTTCAAAAGACCCGGGAGGTTTCCGAACCGGGCGGTAGGTAAACAAATTTCTTCCTGTTGAGGAAGAAAAAAAAAGACAAGTAGCAAATACAATGTCAGAGTTTAGGTGGAGACGTTGGAAGTATAGATTTGAAATAGACATAAGAAGGAACCGAAGACCCAATCCTAAACATGAAACAATGGATAAACCTCAACTCCTGTTAAAAAGACAAGGGAGATGTGTGAACCGAACGATAGGTGAGCCTATCCACCCTTATAGAGGAAAAAATAAACAGCAATAAAAATTTCAATGTTTAGAAGTATAGAGCTGAAATAAACTTTAGAAGTCAAAGGAAGTCTATTCCTAAGCAGAACACAAGGGATAAAAGTCAGCTTCTGTTCAAAAGAGTGGAAAGGAGTATGAACCGGGCAGTTCTTCAATTATGGGGATTCTGTTCTGGAGTTATAATGTTACTGTCTAAAAAGGCAAATTTTCCCCTTTCTATTTATTTTTTCCGTTTTCACTTTTCCTTCACTTTACCCAACCCCATCTGTCAAATAATAATAAAATTTAAGATGAATAAATTCAGAAGGGAAGTAGTTGGGTTTTTATGTGTAGGGTTAATTCGTGAATGTATTTCGGAAGGAGTAAAATAAGGGACGTCAAGTAGATTAAATTCTATTAAGCTTTTAATTAAGTTGCGATAATCCTATCAAAGTAAAATCGAGCGGAAGATTAACGGCCCACTTTTTTCTTTACAACTAGTTCCAAATCTCTCTCTCTCTCTCTCTCTCTCTCTTTTCTCTGCAGGCACTTCTGCTAAGTTAAAATGTGGGATAGTTAATGGTTGATCATAGACTTGATAAAGTGCCTTAAGGAGGTCGTACTCCCCTGGGTCAAGATGGGGTCTACTGGAAGACTATGTATGGCAACAGGACTCTGCACCATGCCACACAAGCAGGATAAGACAGTTATGGCTGTCAGATAATTTCTATGACGACATCACCCCTTATATCTGGCCACCTAACTCCCCTTTTTAGTTATGCGTAGGGTGCAGTTGAGCGAGCGACCAACAAAATTTCTTGTATCACGAACGATGAACTGAAATCAAGTATTATAGTAGCATTCACTTAAACAAGAAGACCATTCAGAAAAGTTGAAAGAGATTCCGAAGTTGTCTGGAGGCCGTGGTTGAAAATTATATTCAATAAATTTACAAGAAGAATTTTGGTTCAGAAAAAGAGTTCAGAAAGAGATTTTAGACGACAATTTATCCATGGAGGGTTGTGGTTGAAAACGAATCAGTGCATCCCAATGCTTTTGAACTCAGTCGACGGACGATCGTGCATCCCAGCAAACATTATAATAAAGTGCTGTAGATGAAGACAGTTACTTCATGGTTCGTTATAAAGAACCGGTCACTTCTCCAGCCTCTTTGGAGAGGAATCGCATATTTGATATCCATCTGACATATGAGATTAAATTGAGTCAGAGAAGACACTCAAAGCCAGAGGCCTCTTTGAGATTGCAACAATTCCTCCTCAATATCTGAGATGATGTTACGAAACAATGCTCTCATTTTTGGCATTTTTAGCACAACGTTTAAAACACGCTACTCTTGGGATTTTTGCAAGAGCTTCTATTACACTATAATATACTGAGAATTTTAAATGGACACCTTTTGGTTAATTTTGGAAGAAATTTTTTATATGCTTATAAAGAGTTGCTGAAAAATAAAATCATTACATTTCCTCGATAGTGTCTATCAGGTGGCTAAATGCCTCGATAAAGAAAAGTTTTTCTTTTGTTTTTATTCATATATATATATATATATATATATATATATATATATATATATAATAAAGAATAAAAAAAAAAAGTTTTCTCGTACAATTGGAATTAAGATACCATTAGTTAATAACCATTTTCATCAGCGAATTTTAAATTTTAAATTCGCAGGATTCACTAAACTGTTTATGGTGTCAGTTTGCAGAAGGGGACTGGTTAGTTGGGAAAGAAAAGAGAGAGATAGACAGGAGAAGGCTTATTTACAGGAAGTAATGTTGGGTATTAGGTTATGGAGGTAGGACTGGCGAGAGAGAGAAGGGAAACCTGATGAGCTGACCTACATCTCATATATATATATATATATATATATATATATATATATATATATGTGTGTGTGTGTGTGTGTGTGTGTTTCTAACTATGTTATGTTTAATGCCTGTACCTATATGAGTTGATATATCTGTTTTAAAAGGGTAAATCTATATCTAACGGTCTGTATATTCGAGAGTCTTGCTACTTTGACTGTCATTTTTTGTATACTTATTCGCGAATTTCAGAACAAGTGATCCTCTATTCCTAGATAATTGAACGACTTTACCAACCTTTTCGTCTATTCACCTATTAATTTTGAAGCCTTAAAATTAGTCAGATTTTTTCGGCTAATTAGAGCCTTCCCTGCTTTACACAAAACATTACGCGAGAAAACTTCACAACAGTCTCAGAATGAAGGCACAGCTAATGGTGTGCGAAGCAAAAAGCAAAGTTTATGAATTAAAAAGCAGATCCAAGCGCAGATATTTTTCATTTTTGAAAGATGCTATGTTAATAGAAAAAGTTTTCATAGAAACTATGTTTATTTTGGTTTTTATACATCAAAAATTGATACATTTAAATTACGCACAAAAGAAAAAAAAACGAGTCGATGTTAATTGGATATCTCTTTAATTATTAATATTTGATGCTATAAAATTCACAAGGCGACATTTTCATATTACAAAAATTTCAGTTTTTAATGTATAATAATCTCATATCTGTCTGTTTGTTACCGAGTAAAAAAGTTCATCGTAGCGAGATTTTTGTTACCAACAAAAAGATTTAACCCGAAGAATATACAATTTCACGTTTAGTTTATCACGTTTTTTTAATCGATATCACCCCATGCAAGGCAGTAAAGCCACTAAGACACAAGGAGGAATTAGGAACAGAAGCATTAATAAGTGGGAAAAGGAAGGCGTAATCAGGAGGATAGTAGAGAGCGATTAACATTGCATTTAAATTTTTGAAGATTAAAGTTGGTCAGAAAACATGGAGCCGGAAGAGAGCTCCTCAAGGGTGAATAGGAGAAAAGAAACTGTTAGTATCTGTCTATATTTCTGAGATGAGGTATTATGTACACACACACACACACACACACACACACACACACACAGATAGATGATGACTAGAATCAGATAGATACATAGATAATGAACAGATTGAGATAGATAGATAGATAGATAGATAGATAGATAGATAGATAGATAGATAGACAGACAGATAGATATAGCATTTAGCTAGTAAATGGTGGGACCTATGTGCCAATCTAGTAGCACAGTTAAATTCATG